GAGTGGAAAGTGATGTGATTGGTGCTATAGGGTAAGTTTTCATTGGAGTATGTGTGTGCATGGACTTGAACTTTCAAATACTTTTGTTACAATTTCCTAGTCTTTCTTCTGGAAAAGAAGGGCTCAGTTATCCACTGTGGGTGATTCTTTGTTGATGTTGAGTAGGAGGAGGACTGGTAATTTTAGGAATTCAAAAAAAATATGTTCTCTTTTCATAGATGGCGGTCGAGTTTCTGCATGAACTGGATGTTCCATTTTTTAAAGTAGGATCAGGGGATACTAACAATTTTCCATATTTGGAAAAAACAGCAAAGAAAGGTGAATGGTTTTATTTTTGACTGTTTTATTAACCTTCACTGAGTCCCAGCAGATTAGGTCCCAACCATTTCCCTCCCACTTGAGACAGCCATCTGAAAGTTTCAGTAACTTCTCAATTTCAAGTTATGTCTCTTTGTGAATTCCTTTAGCTATCGTCTGTTACAGCCTGGACCAATCTCTCTCTCTCTGAATGGACCACCAGTCTGTTGTGCATGAATCCAACTGCTGGATCCCACATACTTCTAAGCCCCTGGTTCTAGCTCTGGGTTTCTCAGGCACACTCCGAGGTGTAGAGTGCATGGCTAACATCCTTCTTGGGCAGTGGGACCCTGCAGTCCAGCCACGTTAGACCCCAAAACCAGTGACCTAGGTCTCCCAAGCCCTACCTCTCTGTGGGCACTCTGAGCTTCTTTATTAACCCCTTCAGTGACCGCATGGCAGGAAAGCAAGGAACACAGGCATAGTAACGGGATTTCTTAATCCCAAACAATTTACTCTTAACAAAGTACAGTAGAGAGAGAGATCTTTAGAAAAGAACAAACTGTCCTAAATGTAGTGCCCCTCCCCCCCCATGATTTCACCCATCCTATGAGTACTGGGTGTGATCAGCATCCATAGGCTAGTCAGCTTGTCCTGCCTCCTTAGCCTAGTTTTCTTGTATGTCTCTGTGGTCTGGCCCCTTTCTTAGAGAAGCTCCTCTGTTTTAAAATAGTCTCTGTTCCTCTTTTTCCCATGTCCTTTAGCTAGGAGCGTTCTGGGTTCCAGCTGCCTCCCTGCTCTCTCCCCTCTTGGCTTAGAGCCCATGAAACAAAATGGGGTTAGCAATTTAACACAGACATACCCCCAACCTGTCACGGCATCAGTTTTAGCAATCAGGCACACTTAACGTAATGCATCTTTAAATAGAATGCAATTGCTTGCAGTGTATTTTAGCGTTAAGTGAACAACAGACATGGTGTTTTTGTTGCTGGCATAACATTCTTTCTAGTTTAACTAATTTCAGACAGCAAAATGAAATCCTTGACAAATGCTTAGGTGCGGTGATCTAGCAGCTATGACATCTAAGGGATTGTCTACACACACAGTTGTTCTGGTTTAACTAAAGGTGTGATTTTTTTTTTTTTAACTGATTTAGTTAAACTGGAGCAAAAGGCTGTGTGGACACGTTTAGTTTAGTTTAACCAGCCTTATATTGCTTTAGCTTAAATCAGTTTGGAACAAGTTTCAGCTACATCAGAATAAGCTACTCTTGCACTGAAATAGCGGTAGTCAACATTTTGCACCGGTTTAACCGAATCTGTTTAAATTCACTCTTATGTTAAACCAATGCAACTTGCATATATAGATTAGCCCTAAGTCATGAAGCCTTGGGAGAAAAATGACCGTTTGTTTTCCCGGCTAGGTCGCCCAATGGTAATTTCCAGTGGGATGCAGTCAATGGACACAATGCACAAGGTTTATCAGCTTGTGAAACCGATCAATCCCAACTTCTGCATTCTCCAGTGCACCAGCGCTTACCCTCTTCAGCCTGAAGATGTCAACCTCCGTGTGATAACGGTCAGTGAATCACATGTAATGTACAGCGTATAGGGAAGGCAGGGCACAGATGAAATAATGCACTTTTACTTAGATTCCTAGATTTTGGGGATGCTGGTATTTGCTGCTGAGAGGGCAGAAAATGTCATGTTTTTCTAGTTCCCCTAAGGATCAAAGTAAAAGCTTCTGCTGGAGCCCTGATTGGCAGAATTTGGCATCAAGGAATTTGATTTAAATTAAAAAAATTAAAATGGAGATATCCTATCTCCTAGAACTGGAAGGGACCTTGAAAGGTCATCAAGTCCAGCCCCCTGCCTTCACTAGCAGGACCAAGTACTGATTTTGCCCCAGATCCCTAAGCGGCCCCCTCAAGGATTGAACTCTCAAACCTGGGTTTAGCAGGCCAATGCTCAAACCACTGACATATATTACCAGTCGACACATGCACACTTAAACAGTGCTGGGTGTGAAATATGCATGGAAATATTATCTTGTGCCTGCACTCTGACGTGGCATAAGACAATAATGTGTAGGCAATCAGACACTAAGAACCTAGATAATAGGTCAGGTCAGATAACTTTTAATTAAAAATATTTCCAATGAAAAGCAAGAATGTGACTAAAATGCATCTGTGCCCTGAGGTAGTATGCTCCTGTTGGTAGTAGGCACATGGATATTTGTGATTACTAAGGATACTACAGTAAGAAAATAAATGTTTTCCACAATTTTGCAAACATTTAAGCACATGCTTAACTAAATGCACACGAGTAGTTGCATTGTTGTCAGTGAGACTACTCACTTGTGCATATATAAGCACTTTTAGGATCAAGTCTGAAGCATCCTCTGCTGCAATGTTACATGTGGTGCTTTATTTTAAGGTTAGTCTGTATCCAAAGGATTTTATAGACATTTTTAAATTGGTTCAGTCCAGTTGACTCTTGGATGGGAACAGAGAGACACATTGTTAGTGTAACCCACTATCTTTGGGGTTTAGGTGCTGATGGATACAACTTAACTAGGAAGAATACCAGAGACGTTTTAAGGTACAAGGAGCCTACCCTTCCTTACTCATGCTGGTTGTCCCAGTGAACCCCTTAAACAAAATCAGGCTGGTCACTAGTGCAGTGCAGCTAGTTGGTATGAACTGAAAGCAGGATTTACCTGTTAAACAGCCAACCGTTTGTTTTATGACACTAGTGGTCTGTATATTCACGTACAGTCATTGTTACATTTGCTCTCTGTGACTCTGAAATTGATATCCTTATAATTCAGATCAACTTTGTTGTCATTCAAGGCGTATCAGTCAGCTTTTCCAGATATCCCCATTGGCTATTCTGGACATGAGACTGGCATAGCCATTTCAGTAGCAGCAGTTGCTATGGGTGCTAAAGTACTGGAACGCCATGTGACTTTGGACAAAACATGGAAAGGAAATGATCACCAGGCATCCCTGGAGCCGAATGAACTGGCAGAATTAGTGAGAACAATCCGTCTGGTGGAAAAGGCAATGGGGTCTCCAGTCAAACAGCTCTTGCCCTGTGAAATGGCCTGTAATGAAAAGGTAACTTTCCTTTTGAATTCACGTGTAGCTAAAGGCCAACTAGATTGACAACTAATTGTTCTTCGTTTAGTATATAGGAGAAGCAACTTGCAAACGGTAACTGCAGATACTCTTCTCCCATTAATAAGCTCCTTCTGCCTCCCCATCCCAAACCCTTTTGCTGCTCATGTGTTGACACTGCTAATGCTTCAGTTTTTCTTAGCACAGACTTACTACCGTGTGTAATTCATTCATTCATTTTGTCAGCATATAAATATTTCTACTGATAATCTTGCCAAGGTGGGCAAGTGCAGTGCAGCTCCAGTTAACCAAAGGTTGGTTATGGTGCCCTCTGGTAGTCAGGCTTGAGCCTTAGGCATTCATAGACTTCTTCTCTTCTAGTAACTTGACCAGTCTTGGGGAAGGCAGCGGGCTCTCTTCACTGTAACTAGAAGAACCCCAGTCATTCACACCCCTGATTCTAGAAAGGATTTGAGTGACACCTGTGCCCTCAATACAACGTGGCATTCAGCTGTATTTACAGTGAAGATTTCCATACTAAAACATCTTCACTAAACTGATTTGAAGTGAGTGCACTTGAAAGTAGAGCAGACAGGGGAGAGGAAAGTCAGTGAGTTTTCTTTGTAGCTGGTAAGAAAAAAGAAAGACCTCATTTTCAATCTTTCGCTTGTCCTTGATACTTTATGAATTAGAATGCACTTGGTTCAATAAACTAATCCTCTTCTGTTGGTATTTCTGTAGCTGGGGAAGTCTGTGGTGGCAAAAGTGACTATCCCTGAAGGTACGGTGCTGACTCTTGACATGCTCACAGTGAAGGTGGGAGAACCTAAAGGATACCTCCCAGAAGAAATTTTTGATCTGGTTGGCAAAAAGGTCAAAACAAACATTGAAGAAGATGAAACAATCACTGAGGATGCAATAGAAAATCATGTTAAAAAAGTGAAATGCTAAATGTAAGCGTTCACATCTGTATTGTTCCTAACATGCTGTGCAGTACAGTACTGCAGCCATACTTTTTGGAATTAATAGCGTGGTAGATTAGAAATGAAGGGATTTAGGTATGAGAATCTGAACAGAATTTCTATTTCATGTTGGCAAAGAGATATTTGCTGCAAACTTACATGAAATTATGAACCCCGTTTTATTAAAGTTGTGTAATATTGTGTTTAAAAAAGGATGTAATCTTCAACATCACCAAAGATCCCGTTCAGAAGCGTCTTGTATGCTGCTCATTGTCAGGATATCACGGTAATGGTTAGTTGGGTGAGAAGATGAGTGTGTGGGTTTATTTCAGGTTCCTTTTGGGATGATCTAGATCTAAGATGTCAATATGCGCATACCAGTCTCAGGAGCACTAGCCTAGCAGAAACTTCTCTCATTAGACAATTATGCAGTAAATATTCCCGGTGGCCCCCTTTTTTTTTTTTTAAACACCTTTCAATCATCTGATGCTAGAGACTGGATTACATAAGAACGGCCATACTGGGTCGGACCAATGGTGACCCTACCAGGTAATGATCAAGTGATCTCTCTCCTGCCATCCATCTCCATCCTCTGACAAACAGAGGCTAGAGACACCATTCCTTACCTGTCCTGGCTAATAGCCATTAATGGACTTAACCTCCATGAATTTATCTAGTTTTCTTTTAAACCCTGTTGTAGTCCTACCTACAGCGACATACAGCACTGCTGCTCCACTGTGACAACTCATTTGTGTCTCCCTGCTACCTTTCTGCCTCTTGGTCTGTTGCCTCCCCATCATCTGCTTTACCGTGAGAACTGCAGCCTCCTGTTGCGGCAGCCCGTGCTCCTCGCCAACTTGTGCACTGACTAATGCCTGCTGCTTCGCTCCTGCATGAAGGAAGCAGGGTTACTGGCTAGAAGAAATGGCAGCTGTGGGCTGCCGGTCATGCGCTCTTCAATTCCCTTAATAACTGGAGCAATACCTTATTCGAATTCATGTTAACTAACTGATAGCAGAAGTCATTTTTATCAGTGAAGTTGATGGAACTTTCTGCCTCTTATGACTTTAGGTATCTTGGACACCCTGACAATATAAGCAGAGCTGTGGGCTGCTTAATGTTGATCTTAAACGTACTACTCCAGTGCCAGGAGACTGTATGGCTATACATTTAAGATAGGAAGAGGTTGTTTCATTCAGCTTCTTGCTTAAATTGTATGGATCGTGCTTGTGAGCTTCAGTTGATGCAGCATGCTTGCCTTAATAGAAGATGATACTAAATGATTGTTGAAAGAAACATTTTTATTGAAAACAAACAAAAATAAATCAAGTTTGTCAAACAAAAGCTGCTACTTTGCCATTTCATTTTAAAGAGGAGACCTAGCCCTTGCATTTTCTTAATATCCCATGCACAGAACATTATTGTAGGCGTGCCTCTGGCATTGGAAACCAAGGCGTGTTCTAGGCCTGTGCTCTCACAAGGTTAGCGAATACAGTAGTTAAAGCACTACAGGTGGCTCTACACTAGAAAAAGGACTTCTGTGGATACAATCTAAGAAATCCTTCTGAATTTTAAGTATTATGGATTTGGGAAAAGAACAAACCACCACTCTTATGCACATCCAACTTTAAGAATACAGTAACTTTGAGAGCAACAGTCATAACAACCCGCTTGCATGTGAGTGTGGTAAAACACTAGCAGCGCTAATTGAGTGCCTTTGAAAGTAGAAAGCTAGAGAGAAATTAAAGTAGTATCTCCCAGCTCCATAAGCTCTGCAATGGAAGTGACAATGCAGCTAGAATCTAATGTGGAGATGGTCCTTTTCCACATGCCTCCGACTTCCAAATGGGGAGTGATGGGGCTGTACAGCATCACAGTGCTTCCTCTCACACCACCTTCAGAACGGCTGCGGTGTGCATTTCTGGAGAAGGAGTGCATCTACAGAAAGTTTCACTGTAAAACAGTAGGACAGGCTTCCCTCAATGACCAGTGTGCTGTACTACTTAAATCAGTTCAATTCAAGCTCTACTTACTGGACCCCAAACACCACTAGCTAATTAGTGTCGATATAAAAGTCCTCACTCCAGGAAAATCTGAAATTAGTTTTAGGCAACAGTGAAAGCAACCCTTTGATTGGTCTTGGAAGTGGATGAAGCTTTTTACCATGAGCTATTTCGGTTACTGGATCTGTTCTCCAAATTCAAACTGAAATAACAAAATTAAACTAAAAGTTGCATCTTCCATAAGCCAAGCTCGGAGTAATACCTATGCAAGATGGTAATCTCTCCAGCCAGCTGGAGGTAGGGTAGTAGTTTAATAAAATGGACTACTAGCTCCTGTTCCAAAAATCAGTTGCATAAACTATGACAGCTATCACGTAATTAAAATAGGACTGTGTTCTATTTTGTAAGCCACAATCCACTACAAAAATACAGTGTAAAATTGCTTTAGTCTTTTAGACACCCTGAGGAGGATTCTTACAATGCCATAACCTGAAGTGCCATTCATAAATGGCAGAAGAGCACTTGGAAAATACAATCATGTAAAAATCACTCATCTATAATAGTATCTTCTGGGGTATTTGATTTGACAAAGACCTGAGTATTTATCTATACTGGGTACTGAGAATCACATTTTAGTGATCAGTATTGAGTAAGAAATGTAGCTAAAGCCTTTAAAGCCTTACAGCGTGGTTGCTGTAATCTGTGAGAATTAATTTATAACTCCTTTTAAAGTGGTTTTACATACAAATAATTGCAAAGCAGGCTCCAGTGCATGTCTTTGTCTCATCACTTCTTAAGTCAGTTTGCAGATTGTTATTGCACCTTCCCACAGCCTAAGTGCTGGGTAAAGAGGCTCTGTGAACTTGCAGCGGAACGTATGCAGGTGGGCCATACCATCCGTTACATTATAGAACGAGAGGATGCCAGCCTCGTAATCCAGGAAAACACCAATTCGTTCTGGATCGTCATTGATCAGGATCAGGGTCCTCTCTCCCTTGTGAAATGCCCAATATTCAAGGTCAAACCTTTTTATACACCAGGATGCTCTGTTCCACCCTAATCGACAAGTTTCAGCGTCTCCATGTCTCTTGATGGAAGGGTACGCTGCTCCAATCCACCATCCTTGTCCAGCGTGAAGCACGTCCACTTCCCAGTAATGGCTCCCAGAGAAGAAAGCATCTTTGCTCAAGACTTGCCATAATTTATCAAATCTCTGGGGGCTATAAGGGTAAAATTTCCTCCTCCAGCTGCAGCTTACTGTAAGACGATCCTCAGACAAACTCAACCTGGGATGAAGGCTCTCGTATTCCAAGGTTGGAGATCTCGCATCTAGAACCAAAACCGTAAGTATGTTACATGTAATTACTTGAAACTTGCATGAGTGACTAATAGAGATCTCTTGAGACAAGTCAGGCCTGATTCCTGTGAATGATGGCAAGTCTATCAGACCGCTGAAGGTAACTGTGGTAGAGGACTGTAACTTTGTTGGGAAAATGCAACTAAAAAAAAAAGGGGGGGGGGAGGGAGAAGGAAAACTGCATTTTTGATTACTTGTAGTTTAAGAAACTTGTCAAGGGAGAGACCCTAAAAACAAGCTATAAATTTACATACTAGTTTAAAACATTAGTAAAATGTAACCAAGGAAAATTGCTTTACATAAGACTGGATGGAGGACATGCAGTCTTATGGGAGAACCAAATTTTAACCAAATTCAGTACATTAAATAACAAATAAGTATATAATATCATATATAAATAAAAAAATACCAACTATTGCTGTAGATTTTTAAGGACAAGTTTATTTTTCTTAGAACTGATTTTTCTACTTGACTCAAATGGCTGCAGATGCCTCATGGAAAACTAAGTAAACAGTCTTATTAGTAATGGTTTTGCTGCTGCATGCCATATTTCTGAATTATTTTTCCTCCCTGCCTCTCTCTCTGAAGATTATCAGGATATTTTGCTTGTAAATAGGATCTGTGGTCTTTAAACATCCACCTGTCTTTTAGTGTCACACATGATAATACTGTGATGACGTATTTGGGCACTGACGTTAATAACTAGTGATATATAGTAATTACACAGTACTTTTTGTGAGCAAAGGCCAGAATAAGGATGTGAATTTACATCAGCTGAAGATCTGGCCCTAGATTTCAAAGCTATCTACAAAATTGGGCAAGTATAATTTTTCTAGTTTTATAGAAGGGGAAACTAATACAATATGGCTAAGTGAGAATTAAACAGCAAGAGCTTGTGTTTTTATGCAAACAGCCTTAGTAATAAAAAATGACAGAAAAACAGTTTTTTTTTTTTTTTTTTTTTTTTACACACATGCTTTGTGTGTGTACACACAATAGTTATACATATACACATTGTGGACCGGATTCTTCCAATGACCTTATGTAGTCATTTACACCAGTGCAGGCTGAGTCCAAAGTGCGTGTGATAAGCTACCATTCTGATTTAGTAGTATTTTACTTCAAATTTGTAGTCCGTACAGGTGCAAATGTCTAGAGAGCCGATTTGTCACTTCCTTGCACACAGTATGTGTTTATCAGTGTGTTTTCCAAAGTGAAAGTCTTTTACACTGTCTGAAAAAATTAGGTCTTGTCTAGACAAGGAAAGGTGGTTGGGCTTAGCCAGCTCATGTTAGCTGCTCTAACGTTTTTCCTAGCCTACTTAAAGCCTCATTGGCCCTTACTTTAAAAAGCAAAATGACAACTTATTAAAGGTGTTCGCCCAAAGCAGCACTCACATGCTTTCTTAGCAAATAACTTTGTCCACAAAGCCTTGAGTGACAGCCAGAGACACAAGTGCTTAGAATTCTTAACAAACTGGATTGTTTTGTGATTTGATCTTTATGTAGTCACCCATATATGTGCGTTTGAACTGTTGCCTGTTTAGGCGGTCAACTCCTTGGGCTGAGGGTTTTGTCTTCCATTATGCTCCATACAGGGCTGAACACAATCAGTTGCTGTACAAGCCTTGGTGGTTAGGGCTCACCTGGGATGTGGGAGACCCAGGTTCAAGTACCTGCTCCTAATCAAACAGAGGAGAGACCAATGTAATAGAAAGAGAGAGCCCGAGACATTAGGTCTGGTATGAGGCCTGAACTAAAGTCAGGCCCTGTTACAAAGCAGATACCTGCTTGCAGGTTCAATATCTGATATGTGAACTTGGCAAGAACAGGGCTGGTATTGCAAAAACACAAGCAGTCCTAGGCACTAGGGATTCACGTAAACACATTCCAGCAGAATAGTACTAGAACACCCCGATACAAGGGTATGGTGTAAACACACTCCCCAAAGATAATACAGGGACACACTGACCTCTCCTAAGGATGAAGTCAGGATGGCAGGGTGAAGGATAGAGATGTTTTGATTGAACCCACATGTACAAGGTAAAGAGTGTAACTATCTATGTCAGAGGGGCTGTGATAAATGAAGGTGGGGGAAGCTCCCTTTTATGGACCCCCCAGTTAGCTATAAAATCCGTTAGTAGCTGTTCTCTACTTGCTTTACCTGTAAAGGGTTAAAAAAGCCCATAGGTGAAAGGAAGGGAGTGGGCACCTGACCAAAAGAGCCAATGGGAAGGCTAGAACGTCTTAAAATTGGGGGAAAAACTTCCCCCTTTGTCTGTCTGGTTGTTCTCCCGGAGAGCAGGGACAGGGCTCGAGCTATGCTGTAAATGCTTGGGCCAGGTATGAAAATCATCAGCTCATACCTAGAAACTACTCATTTGAAACCCCAGATATGTAAGTAGATCAGGAAATGTCTAGGAAGACGCGATTAGGTTTATCTCTTTATGTCTTGTGGTCTCCTCTGTGCTAACCCCAGGTGCTTTTGTTTTGCTTGTAACCTTTAAGCTGGACCTCAAGAAGCTATCTTGATGCTTAATCCTTGTAATTGGTTTTTTTTTTTTTTAAACCTAGCAAAAAGCCGAAGTTCCAGATGTATTTTCTTTCTTTTTGTTTTTAATAAAATTTTCCTTTTTTAAGAACAGGATTGGATTTTTGTGTCCTTAAGAGGTTTGTACATGTTGTTTAATTAGCTGGTGCAACAGTTGATTTCCTTTGTTTTCTTTCTCAGCAATTCCTGGGGGGAGAGGGAGGTGAAAGGGCTTGAGGGTATCCCACAGGAAGGAATTCCCAAGTGCGCCTTCCTGGGTTCTCAAAGGGGTTCTGCACTTGGGTGGTGGCAGCATCTACTCATCCAAGGTCAGAGAAAAGCTGTAACCTTGGGAGTTTAATACAAGCTTGGAGTGGCCAGTATTAATTTTTAGAATCCTTGCGGGCCCCCACCTTATGCACTCAAAAGTGCCAGAGTGGGGAATCAGCCTTGACAGGGGCAATGCCTAATTTGTTTGTATCAGTGTATAAAAGAGGGGTCACGAGGGGGTGTCTTTGTCCAGCCGAGGGGGAGCGGAGAGTCCTGCCGCTCACTGAGCCGAGTCCATTGTCACAGGCATACATGTCTTAATATCCCCATAGAGTCTACCGGGTGCTACTACGGTGCTTCAGTGACGATAAACCTGGCTGGGCACCTTTGCTACTGAACGGAGTCGGTGGTTTTCTTGGGCAGTTCGATCGAGGTCTGCTACATCCGCGATCTGCGCAGCGCCGATGCAGCACACAGAGAGCACGCACACAGAGCCAACTGACAGCAGCCTGAACCTGGGTCTCCCAAAACACAGGTGCCCTAACAACCTGGCTATTCTGGCGTCTACTCCCCTACCCCCCATGCCATCCTGGACCTGAAAGACATTCGCACAAAAAGTTTTGGTTTCAAAGAATCAGCATTTTCCCACAAAAATCTTTCACCAAAAAATTCCCAACCAGCTCCAATCTTGAACACACTCTACAATAAAAAGGAAAAGGGTTTTGCCCTGGGCTAACTATCAGCATCAGTGCAGAGGAAGCTACTGCTGAATACTGTGCGTGGAAGCAAACCTACCAGCTCTGTGCCCCTGTTCTTCCTTCAGACACTGGTTAGAGCAGTGGTTCTCAAACTTCTGTACTGGTGACCCCTTTCACATAGCAAGCCTCTGAGTGCGACCCCCCTTATAAACTAAAAACACTTTTTTATATATTTAACACCATTATAAATGTTGGAGGCAAAGCAGGGTTTGGGGTGGAGGCTGACAGCTCGCAACCCCCTGAGGGGTCCCGACCCCCAGTTTGAGAACCCCTGGGTTAGAGAGAGAGAACAGTATCTGCCTGCAGTGGATGTTAATTGATGCAGAATGTTTCTCTAAACAGAAAAAGCAGCTGACCTGTAACTATTATTGTTGTGTTACTGATATTTACATGGCAGTGATTTGTAAACCTGTTAAAACTTCCTAAATAAATAAATAGTTATAAAAAATACATCTACTGCAATTCCTCTTGGCAGTCTCTACTGCCATCCACTGATGAGACACTGACGACAAAAAGAGACTGAATTGGCTTCATTAAGTTGCACAGACCTACCAACCAAGGCCCAAATGTGGGATGCAATTTGTGACAGAGACACCAGATGAGGGAGACAAAAAAATTACTCCTGCAGGAAATGTAACAAGCGGGGGGATCCTTCGCTTGGTGTAAATAACTCTCTAGAATCTCTGGCTCAATGAGTCTGCATTGCTGGGGTCAGTCATTTTTAGCAATAAAAAACAAAGGGATGCTAATTTGTATAGCATGCAGGTAACTCTGGGACTAAAAGGGATGCTGGCCCTCAAAAGGAGAAGCAGTTGAGAAGTCTGGATGCAGTTACTCTTTTTCTAGTTGCAGCTTGTAAAGTTGTAAAAATAATTGAAGGAATATACTGTCAGGTCAAATATGGCTCAAAATTTGAGATAAAAAAGAATGTAAAACCTAAGTTAAATATTTTCATGGGAGAAAATGGAGTGTGTGTGTGTGCACGTGCGTGTGTACACACCAACATTCCACTGCAGGTTAAGCTCAAAATTCCAGCAAAGTGCTCAAATTGATTTGAACAAACAAAATGAGCTTGGCTGTTTTCATTCTCCAAAGGGAGAAATGCTGTTTGTTTATTTGTGCGTTACGGGTGAAAGGTAAAGTGTATTATTACTAAAACTGGAAGAATTTTAATAATCCACAGTGTTATTTGTAACTAGGACTTTACAAATCCACCAGCCTGTGGAGCACTGAACCCTCCCCTAGCAACCCAGCATTGTCAGCTTTGTGTAACCAAGAAATTGTATTTCTAGCCCGTATGATTGCAAAGGTAACTTCCCAAATGCAAAGCGAATGTAAACCAATGCAGTGCTATCTTCCTGACTCTGCAAACACATCTCCTGAAATAGAAAGATGCAAAATGCCAATCACCCAAATCATGGGTCCAAGTCACAGCTTGACAACACCTCGCTCTGCTTAACCTTAATATCAAATGCTCAGAGTGACACCTCCCAGCAGATTCAGTGCCTAAGCAAGATCAGTGTCTAGATCAGGGGTCGGCAACCTTTCAGAAGTGGTGTGCCGAGTCTTTATTTATTCACTCTAATTTAAGGTTTCGCGTGCCAGTAATACATTTTAACGTTTTTAGGTCTCTTTCTAGAAGTCTATAATATATAACTAAACTATTGTTGTATGTAAAGTAAATAAGGTTTTTAAAATGTTTAAGAAGCTTTATTTAACATTAAATTAAAATGCAGAGCCCCCCCGGACTGGTGGCCAGGACCCAGGCAGTGTGAGTGCCACTGAAAATCAGCTCACCTGCCGCCTTTGGCACGCGTGCCATAGGTTGCCTACCCCTGGTCTAGATGAAAAGCAGGTAGTTGTATCTGACCCCGGGCAAGACAGAAGTGGTGCAAGTGGAAAGAGAACTAACCAAGGGCATATCATTCTCCATAGAGAGGCTTTGCCACTGCTGCTGGATTCCCAAGCAGTAACAGCTGCTGGAAACCCATTCTTCCATTTCTGTCTGGCCAGAGGCCATGCACGTTAGCCAGAGAGATCCACAATGTCATGATTTACAGGCTAATTTAGTGCAGTGCAACAGGGTTAGGATGAAGGCATCAGTCCCAAGACTGCTCCACTGACTCAGAATATGGCAGCCCATCCAGTAGCTAAGCAACACAGGACAGCATGAGCAGAGCACATCACACTCCCACTCCCGACACTGCACTGACCCTCCAGTGTGGATCCAAGGTTCTGTTTCTGAGATTCATGGTCCAAAATGGGTTGGGTCCAGGCTACTCTGACCTTCTGCCATCAAGGACAATGGAGTTTTTAACAACCAGGGTGAAACTTAGACGAGCAGGAGACAGCTGTTTCTCAGTGACTGGCTCATGGCCTTGAAATTGGAGTGGCCACAAAACCCACCATCTTCCGGATAAAATGCAAAACTCAGAACGTTACCACAACACACACTACTGATAATAATAAATTAAAGAAAACAATTGACTTCATAGCCTTCCTCTGTATTCTGGGAGAGAGAGAGAGACACCAAAAAACCAACACCAAATAGGCGACATGGGGGACCCATGTAATTCTGAAAGGTCTTGTCTACGTGGGGAGTTATTCCTGAGAAACTCCATGTGGGGCTGCTCTGCTGAATTTAATTAATTCACACCTACCTTATTCCAGATTAACTTTCAGATGTAGACAAGCCCTAAGAAAGGCAACTATCATGAGGGTGCGCAGAATATGAATATCTAAAGAAGCTACATTAGATACACTAGCCAGTTCATAGGCTTGCAGGTATAAATATAAATGCTGGGTCAAGATTTTCAAAAGTGACAGCAATTTTTGTTTCCTGACATGAGACACCATAGAGGGGTCTGATTTTCAGAAAGTACTGAGCATCCCCCTTTGAAGGTGTCTCAAGATAGGTCCCCAAAAACTGAGGCATCCAAACTCAAGGCACTTCTGAAAATCTTGACCTTCGTTATTAATTCTGGGAACACAGGAAAGTTTGGTTTAATGTTACTTACGTTTTAAAAATAACGATCGATCAACTGTAGATGTTGTTTTCAGCAACGCGCCAGGTTCCTTCTTTGAAGTGGCATTGAGGCTGCTGAAAATGTCTAAGGCACAAATGAAAAGAAGCTGTTTAGAAAACGTTCTTCTTGGGAAGACATATCTGCTGCTTATAAGGGGAGTTTGCAGGGAAAAGTGCTTTAAATTCTAACAGCAATCTGGGCAAAGCAAAATTTCACATTCCCTTTTTCCAAGTTGATTGGCTGACAATTACTATAAATTATCTTTACTAGTGGAAGGGGAGTTTATTTTGTACAAAATTCTACTTCCCACCCTAAGTCCATTTGCTAGCATGGATATGCATAACACACAACAGAGCCACTCAGAGAGTCTGGGATGCAACACACTCCACTAATCATGCTACAGGACTGAATCTCTGGTTTCTAAGCATCCAGGGAAAAAAACACAGCAGAGAGCGTATTCTCCCTATACAGATGATTGTGAAATGGAACATAGCCAGACAGCTGATGATTCATGCAAAGGTGCTGTGATCCCAAAGGCGGTTACAGGGTACTATCACTCATTCCCTTCATTACATCACCAATAAACTTCCAGGATTCCCCACTGCTCCTGAAGCCATCCTGTTGTATCATGCCATACTTGACTCAATGTTGTCTAGTGCATCTTTCACAACGGGGTCAACTCAGGGATAACTGGGCGGCCTGTGATATACCAGAGGTCAGACTAGATATCTAATGGTGCCTTCTGGCCTCGTAACCTATGACTCTATAAACAGTTGGGGTTTCCATATGGCTGGGGTGAGGAGGTTGTTTTTCTTCATGGCCCTATATTCTAACAGGGGTGCCCTGTCCTTAAAAATGCATATCAGCCACATGTAACAAAATAAGCTAGCTCAAAAAGTGTTATAGTTCAGAATGCATTCAACACTCTGGGGAGAATATCTGTTATTATAGCACTGCTATTTAACGGTATTACAGAGTATAACCTTGTCTTACACACTGGGCTAGCCACAGTGTGATTAGGAGTGAGATAGTGCAGCTATGGGAGCTGGGCCTCCTAGGTTCAAATTAGGCAGCCCTTCTTAGGAGACTTTAAACTAGGTAGGTTATTATTTAGATCTGAAGCTCTTTGGGGCAGGGACTGTCGTTTTGATCTGTGTTTGTACAGCACCTAGCACAGTGGGTCCTGGTCCATGACGGGCTCACCAGCTTTACTGCAATACACGTAATAAATAACGCCATGAATAATAATAATAATAATAATAAAGGGGGAGACTGGGAGCTCTTTCAGTTAACTCAGTAATGGGGCACTTCTAACAGAGTATGGCAGAAGACAGAGTTGATCGAAAACAAAAGCAGAAGACAACGCTCAGTGTATTGGCATAGCCATCCATTTGGAACATGGAAAACAGGCATGAGAAATGTTGCTAAGCTATGGCCATTGGAGCTGCGTAGGAGGAGTCTCCCAGCAGGCATGTCAATACCGACAGGTAAACATTATGTAGAAAAAAACAAAGGGAAGAAGGGGCGTGTATTTATCACTAGAATAGCTAAAGTACTTATAAGGCCAGAAAGCTCTAAACTGCTGTCACAGAGAGTCGTGGTGATAAAAACAAAAGGAGAGATGCGCATGAGCAACTGCTCTAGGCTAGTAAGGCTATAGGAGAGACATTTCTCAAGTTACTCTTGCCTGCCCTAACACAGCTGCATATGCATTTAAGGCATTCCTAAATAATATAAGAGACAACATGCAGATGAAATTGAGTGTATATGTGATGGCTGGCACATGTGATGGCTGTAGCGCTAAAGAGCCAAGGCGCCATAGCTGGGGGCTGTAACAACTCATATTCTCTATGGATTGGCACAGAGGGAGACCTGCATACACATTCACCAATAGGTTACAGTGAGATGCAAAGGAATTCTGGGAATAATCTGAACTAATGGAACATCTTACTGGGTTCTACATTACTAGTCACAACTCCGGAGAAACATGTTGGGGATTGGTCCTGCGTTGGAGTTGGTCCTGCTTTGAGCAGGTGGTTGGACTAGATGACCTCCTGAGGTCCCTTCCAACCCTGACATTCTATGATCCTATGAACCGCCGAAGGGACTGATTCAGGAGGAAAGATTAGAAAAGCTACATATGGCTAGCTTGGAGGAGGAGATGTCTGCCCTACCATCTGAAGTGTGACTGCAGCATGAGTAAACACTCCGGAGCCGGCTTGGATCTAACGAGCTTGCCCAACAATTGCAGTGAAGCTGCAGCAGCATGGCTGTACAAGCCCACCCGGGACCCTGGGTATGTAGTCAAGTAGCTAGCCCATGCTGCCACATCTTCAGGGCTATTGTTAGTCGAGCTGGCTAGATGAAAGCTAGCTTGGTTCTGTCTACACATGCTGCAGTCACACCTCTGACTGCAGGGTAGACAGACCCTATGAGGCAATTAAAGGGAGGACACAAGACTACAAATACGTGAAGGATGCCAGCCCCAAAGACAGACAGGAAATAGTTAGGGCCCTACAAGAGCAATGAGACAAAATGTAACAGGGAAATTTAGGTTGACTATCAAGGAAAACTCCCTGATGGCGAGATTGTGGAACAGTCTCCCCAAGGTGACAGTGTAAGTTCCATTGCTACTGAAGGACCAGTGGTTTTCACAGGCCTTTCCCAGCAGTAAGTTCTGTGAGTTGGCTCTCTCGTTCCGAAGGGCTGTCACTCAGCACCCTTTTCTCTCTCTGAAGGCACTGGGACTCCCTATTTTCAGTAGTTTGTAGCTAGACAGAGGCTAAAGCTAGAACCATTTATCCTGGTGGCTTTTGGGAAATGGAACCTGCATCTAACCCACCTTGGTTTACGTTTGGCCAAAAAGAGCAACAGAAAAGTCAAGACCAATGAGGTTTTGCAGAACTGCCAGCAACAGGCAGACACATATTGCATGTGTCATGTAAAATGAGCAACAGTAATGCATGTTCAATGTACTGACTATATGGCAGTGGTGTAGTGGTAAAAGGCAAAGTGGGTAAAGCTAACCTAGACTAAACTCCTTACTCGCCAAATGAGAAACGGGTAAAAGTTTACCTGCATTTACCCTTGGCTACACTACTGCTATATGGTGCCTGTCTGCCTGCGAGCACTACTGAGTGCCAATAGTGAACAAAGAATAAGCAGACAGCATGAGGCTGCAAAATCGAAAGGGTTAAAAACACGGCACGGTCAATGGTACCTTCTTTCAGACGAGCTTCTAAAGATTTCTGCAGAACGGACTGAATAGCTCCTGCGAAGCCCCTGTAATGGTTCATAACATGCTCAAACGACATAGGCACTGGGTGCCACTGTTCCGCCGGAGCCCTCTGCTCCTGTATTTCTTTTTCTGATGCTGTGTAGTCCTGCAGACACAGAATCAAATCCTAGAGTCAGGCAATACCTTTTGGCCATTTCTTCCCTCTCCAAACCCCCACCCGGGCTCAAAAGCGGAGGTGGAGCCACAAATCTGCACTCTCTTTCTCCAGCAAGCAGGGATATATCAAAAACAATCAGTAAAACCTACTGTCCATAATAACCAAGCCCTTTAATTCTCCTCATGTTTGGGCTGCTTAATGCAATGGCAATAGCCCACGTGTTGGTGCAGCCAGCCTGCCTCCCAGTGTAAGGAGTGAGCTGGGTACTACTGCAATCTTGGGGGAAATGTTGAATTACGAAGGGAATCTGGCCTGCCTATAGCCTTGTTAGGGTTCAGTGCAGAAAATACAAGGGCAGGCTCTGAATTTCCTACCCCTGCAGCGTGCATAGGCCAGACTGCCAAGAGCTCAGCTCCTATTCAGGTGCCTAAAGTGAAGTGGCCAGAGTTTCAATAGCGCTCCACGCCCAGCAGCTCCCACTGGTCTCATTTGGGGTGGGTGGAGGTGGATCTCTGCTATTCTCAATGGAAGTTGTTGGGTACTGAGCACTTCTGAAAATCTGCCCCATAGCTCTTACTGCAGAGTGGTACAGTAAATCCCTGCCATAAAAAATAGGTCGTGAGGCTTTGGGAGGAGCAAACACAGGCCTTCCCAAGCAACTGACATCGAAGGATCAAGTGTCCTCCTGCATTTGTGTCATAATTTTGCAGGTCTTTATGCCGTTGTATGAAGAGGATCACGGAGAGAGCTACGGGTAGCATCTACCAGTAGGTGATAGTGTAGGCTCCGCCTTCCAGAAAATGATGCTTGTCATCTGTGAGACCCTAGGAACTTCTGTGGTGTAAGTGAAGAGAACAATTGACACACTCAGCTCTCAGAGGTTTCTTAACAGGTATCCCTTTCCTCACATGTTCAGCTGGGCATGCTCTGCACAGGAGGGGGCTGGAGGTGCTGACCTTGTAAAAAGGTACAGGGATATAGAACAAATGGGTATAATTTAGCCCCTCTCTTTTACTTAATGGTAAAGATCCAGGTGATCTAAACCAGCGTTTCTCAAATGCCGCCCCAGGAGCTTTTCTTCCGGCCACAGCCTCCTAGGTGGTGATTGCAGGGGGTGGGGGGGTGGGGATGAAAGCAGTGGGGCTCTGGCTTCCAGCTTCAGCCCTTGGGTGGCAGGTGACAGCCCTCCAGTCGTAGGGCTTCGGGCTCCAGGCATAGGCTCAATCCCCCGGCCCCACCATTCTGCCCATCACCCCTGGCCCCCGCTGCCTCCTCCAGCTCTGGGCTTTGGCTGCACCCCCAGCCGTGGGACCCCAGGATCCAGCCATTGGGCTTCGGGCTCTGACCCCAGGCTCAAACCCCGCCCCCCATTACTGCTGGCCCCTGTTGTGTCCTCCAGCCCTAGGCTTTGGGTGTTGGTCCTGGGCTCACCACCCTCCCCATTGCCACTGGCCCCCCGCTGCCTCCCTACCCACCTCCCCATCCAGGGCTTAATTTGTCCCCCAGCTTGCCAGGGCTGAGTAAGTCTGCCGTGAAAGGTGATATTTATATATTCGTTAATATCGCTTTTCACTGCCTCCCAGCTAGCTAGCAAGTCTAAAAAAAACCCAACCAAAAATGCAAAAGAAACAACTACCACCACCAAAGACAAGAACATGCAAAGCACCTTATCTGTGTTTCTATTCAGTTTATGTCCAGTAAAGAATAGAGACAACTGTACATTGTTTTTATTATTGAGTTTGCAAAAAACCCCTACATAAATAAATTACAATGATTTGGACACGTATATGTGCAAATGTATTTGTTTTTCCTAAAGTTAATTAAGTATTTTAGGGAAAATTGTCAGAGTGGCCACCAGCAGGAGTTGGTGACCGAACTCTGAGGCCACCAAAAATTTTGTCGTGAGAACCCCTGCATTCTAAACCCAGTTTAAAGGTGGAATCGGGACTGTGTGGGCTACTAACGGGAAGGGAAGGAGCTAGACTATTCACCAAAACAGAGAGGCAGTAATAAGGGGGAAAGAGAGGATAAGGCACTTTGTACATATGTATCTACAGAAGCAACTACAATAAGCCTCCGAAGTGGTTCACCATTAAATATCAGAGGCAGAAAGAGAATACAATGCTACCTGTAATAACTGAATGGGATCACTTCGCAGCTGGATCTGCCTGACTCGGTCTGAGAAGCTCTCTATGATTTGAATTCGTTCTTGACATGACTCCGTCTGCTGATCATACATCATGAGGGCCCGTTGAGTCTTTTCATTTATGAATTTTTTTGTCAACCTTTCCTCTTCATCAAGTAGTAACCGGAGTTCGGTGAACTTCCCTGCCAGAGACGCTTTACTAGCCGAGGCGTGTGCCTACAGATAAAAACAGAATGGCAGACACATTCAGAGTATAAGTGTCTCCGATGTTTCTCTGTCAGACTTTAAAAGTTACATTCCCACAAAGTTTTACTGATCTGTAGCTTTCCTTTACAAAAATGGAATAGCCACAGTCCAGACAACCACACTTGCTTGGGGTTTTCCTGCTACTGTCCTGGGTGAAAAGGCTCAGGGACAGATTCTGATACCCTTACTCTCATTGACAGCATCTTAACTTCAGTGGGACTACTCACACAGTAAGATACTACTCACACAGTAAGAAAGGGCATCAAAATCTAGCCCTTAGCTAGCAGTGTCTGGAGTGACATCAGGCAGACTCCAGAAGTCTGGCAGACATGGGATCTGGATTTCTGTGTATGCTTGAAAGGGAATATTTTATGTCCCATCATCAAACAAGTTAAGTAAGTAGAATAGTTGGAACGAGGGCATCTTAATGTGAGGGACAGCTGGCGTCAATGTCCAAACCAATACGGAAAGGTCTCCGGATCGCACGGATAGCCATTTGCTGGGTACACTATGGAGATGCTTTCAGAGCATAAGCTCCTGGGACCATTTCTACCTGTATGTGCTGTACAGGGCCGAGTATGCTGACAGTTCTCCACACAGAATGAGTAATAGTTTCCTGTTTTTATTGCACTCAGATCCTCACATGATGTAAATTAGTGTAGCTCCATTAACTTCAACAGAGCTACATCAATTTACACCAGCTGAGGAGGTTTATCATTTGCTATGTGTAATTATTTCAGTACCGCTCTCCCAGATATGCATGTTCCACTCCCACTAACAGGTGGCTGATTGCAGAATTGAAACTAGGGGCAGGATTTTGGTTTCAGGCGAGCCCCCGCATCTGCTAGCACCAGGCGCAGGTGCCTACAGGAAATACACTGTTCTGCTGCGGAGCTGAAGCTGTGATGTCACTCTGAGGTGGGCAGCGGTTGGCTAATTCTCCCTAACAACAGACAATATGGGTCTATGGCTTAGTCTGCATTATGCCCAGTTTGCCAGCACAGCTATGTTCACTAGAAGTGTGAAAAAAATTACACACACTCCAAGCCAATGTAGCTATGCCAGCAAACACTCTGGGGTATGCAACTATCCCGACAGAAGAGTGCTTTTCTCAGCTTAGCTAATGTTGTTCTGGGAGGTGGCGTAGCTATACCATCAGAAGAACTCCTTCTGTTGGCTACGCTGCGTCTACGCTAGGGGGCTCTGCCAGCATTGCTATACTGGCCACGACTCTGTAGTGTAGACAAGCCCTCTGTATCAGTTTGACTGTGATTGCTATTTGACATTGAACATAAGAATGGTCCCACTGGGTTAGACCTAGGGTCCATCTAGCCCAGTAACTTGTCTTCCAACAGTGGCCAGTACCAGGTGCCCCAGAGGGAACAAACAGAACAGGTAATCATCAAATGATCCATCCCCCGTCGCCCACTCCCAGCCTCTGGCAAACAGAGGCTAAGGACACCATCCCTGCCCATCCTGGCTGATAGCCATTGATGGACCTATCCTCCATGAATTTATCTAGTTCTTTTTTGAACCCTGTTATGGTCTTGGCCTTCACAACATCCTCTGGCAAGGAGTTCCACAGGTTGACTGTGCGTTGTGTGAAGAAAGACATTGGGCTTGTCTGCATGGGAAACGTTTACCAGTTATACCAGTACAGTTAAACAGGTATAACTCCCCATGTGGGCACTCTTATTCTAAAAGACTGGCTTTTTTCAGTTCAGCTTAAACCCCTCTGCGACACTCTGTACCCCAAAGCAACACCCTGGCACCCCCATATTTACCATGGTGATAGGATTATGATATGATTTGTACAAAGTATGCCTTGTGAGGTATCATTCTAAAAGTCTTGATCTGTTGAACATTAATATCCTGTTGGATTGTATGTGCTGTCATCATATCTGCAGTTATAAATATTGACTATGTACCACTATTTCAAATGTGTTTGCTCCAGGGGTGACACCCCGCAAGTAGTTTACATCCAGTCTAGCCAGCACATTGTAAGTGGACTATTCAAGGTGATGGCCCATTAAGAAACCCACCCGGTAGGCCTTCCTGTGAACACTTCATCCAGTATATGGATAATGGCTGCTATGACTCATCGAAGCATGCAAGGGCATGTGACTAGATCATGTGATACTGGACTCCATCTTGTGCCTGCACTTTCCCACAAACTGGGCTGGGGGCTTTGTTTGGGACAACGACGTTCCCTCCACATGGCAGAAGCTATAAAAGAGGGGAAGGGACATCATCACGTGGCCTCTCTCCCCCCACAACTCAACACTTGGAAACACGACTAGCGGACAAAGACTTTGACTGGGAAGGGGGTCCCAGGCAGGAAAGGTGGATTCCAGCCTATGTATGAAAGATCTGCCAACTGTTTGTACTGTCAGGGTGAGACACGGCTTGATTCAAATCCTGACTAATTAACAGAACTCAGATTCCGATTTCGTTTTATTTCGTAGGTAATCTACTTTGATCTGTACACTTACTACTTATAATCACTTAAAATCTCTCTTCCCATAGTTAATACATTTGTTTTACATTTTACCTAAAAACCGTGGTCCGACTGAACTGTATGAAAAATCGTAGCTCAGTTAACAAAAAGCTTGTGCTGTGTTCCTTCCATATTGAGGGAGGGGTGGATGGGTTAATAAACTTACCCTGATCAGGCTTTTGACCAGGGCAAGACGGTACAGTTCTAGGGTCCTAGGCTGGGGGGAACTGGCTGAAGCCTCTCTATTGTTGGTTCATGAATGACTGGCATGAGTTCATGAGTGACTCGGGTCTGTCCCTGCCCATGAATGTTTGTGTGAGTGCAAGACCTGGAGGGGTCTGCAGCTTGTCACAGCGTCACAGTGTGGACGGGAACCCAGGCTGGCGAGACCAAGGGCTCAGCGGTACCCCAGTTCCAGGTTGCACCCCGGGAACACCCATCACACGCTCCCAAAGTAACATAAACTAAACTGCTAATAGGCCCTCTTCTATGGTTGTCCACATAGGTGGTTATACCGACATAACTACAGCAGTTTATAGTCACACCTTACCTTATACTCATATAATCTTCCCACACAGACAAGCCCTTTGCCAGTTAACAAAATACTGGGAACAGAAAAGTTAATCATAACATTTACAACAGAAACTTCACAGCAAGTTTACTTTCGCTCTAGAAAACCATGCTTGTGATTGAGTAGCTGTCTAGGCTGCAGCTTGGGTGGCATCTGAAAGTTGCTACTCCCTGATTAATAAGCAAGTTTCCACTTTACCTTAAGGTCATTAACAGCTTGTTCTATATGTCTTATATTGCCAACTTCCTGTTTCTTTTTCAAGTCTAGCTCCTTCAAGAACGTTGTCATGAATTCCTGTTCATGTAAAACAAAATACATACTTGGTCATAAACAATGGTTACAAACATTGTAATTATCCATTTTACTTTCTACAGCAGAAGAATATAGTCAGAAACTGCCCAGATCACGTATTTATACAAGGTAAATATCGATACTTGTTAACTAGATCACGTACTTGAACATTTAAGCAGCCCATCTGTGCTAGCTCTTGCACAGTTCAAAGACATGTACAAGGTGATATCACTTCCGCAAGACATAGGAAAACTTACTGGGAAAGTCTGTTTTTTCACCCTGAAATCTCTATTGTTGCTCAGACAGAAATAATACCACCTGCATATGTGTTTAGCAGTTAAAGGATCCCAGCTGAGCATTTTCATTTGGAAAATCACCCAGGGATCTATTACCTTGCCTGGATTCAAAATCCAGTGAATATGTGTGACACTTTTCAGTGGCAATAGATGTTTTCTGCTCTAGGATGTAGCATAGAGGCTGTACTATAACCAAATTTTATGTAAAGATTAAGCAAATTTATTCTGGCAAATTTTCCTTTACATACCAGCCCTGTTCCTCAATAGGGTTGTTTATGACAGGCAGCTATGAGCATGCTGTAAATAAGATGGTCACCGCTATTTAGAAAGGATGTAGAGAAACTGGAAAGGAGCCAGAGGCAAGTGACCAAGATAATCAGAGGTATGGAATGCAGCTATATGAGCAAAGGCTGAAGGAACTGAGTATGTTTAGTTTGGAAAAGAGAAGATTAAGGGGGGACATGACAGCAGTCTTCAAAGGCTTGAAAGGCTGCCATATAAAAGATGGAGGAAAACTGTTCTCTCTTGCCACAGAGGAAGAGGCAGTGGGTTCAGACTACAGCACAGCAGATTTAGATTAAATCTCAGGAAAAACTTCCTAACTGTAAGAACAGTAGGACAATGGAACAAAGTGTCTAGGAAAGTCGTGGAAGCTCCTTCATGGAAGGTTTTCAAAAAGAGGGTGGAGCCATCTGTCTTGAATGGTTTAGACACATCAAATCCTGCATCTTGGCAGGAGGTTAACTAGATGACTCTTGCGGTCCCTTCTAACCCAATGATTCTAGGATTGCAAGGCATAGCAATGGTGGAGTAACTTTAAAAAGGGTACATATTGATTTTTTTCCTAACATGGTTCAATATTTTAAAGTGTGTCTTTGTTTATTGGCTGAACTACATTTACTAATTCAGGTCAGATGCATCCGAAGAAGTGGGTTGTAGCCCACGAAAGCTTATGCTCTAATAAATTTGTTAGTCTCTAAGGTGCCACAAGTACTCCTGTTCTTTTTGCGGATACAGACTAACACGGCTGCTATTCTGAAAACAGGTCAGATTTTGATATCCTTACACTGGTTAGTACTTTACTCTGTGAGTAGACCCTGGTGATTTCAGTGAGGCTATTTGCAGTTAAATACTGCTCCCCATGAGTAAGGGTCTGAGATCCGGACCTCAGAGATTAAGGTGGAGATTTTCTAAAGCAGCCGGCTCCCATTGGAAGTCAATGGGCATCACTGCCCAGATTGTTAAAGCTATTTAGGTGTTGCTGCGCTTGCTCAGCGTTGAACAGCTATCTCATTTAGGAACCTAGATCTCATTTTCAAAAGGGAGTTAGGCACCTAGAAGTCTAAATTCCATCAATGACGGGATTTAGATTCCTAAATCAATTAGGTGTTGCGATGCTGAGCACAGCAACACCTAAATACCTTTTATAATCTGGGCCTGGGTGCCTATCTGCCCTTTTGTGGCTTGGAAAATCTCCCCATCAGCCTGTTTCCAGCATTCATATAGACCCCATTCCACATGGATTCCTACGGTAGTCGTGAGTAACTGTTTGTATGATGAAGCCCTTAGTTATTTTTTTACATATTAACAGCTTAAATTGTGATTTTAAACATAAGAGCCATACCATGTCCCAAGTAACCCTTTCACATTGTTAGTTCACTCTAATAATACAGCATGATAAGGGATTCAGAAACCTTTAACAAGCATAGTTAATAGTAAACATCGTGCCATTGAAAACTCCCCAAACTGTGCCCTTGAGCATTGGGAACTTCAATGGACTCTGAAAGGGACATGTTGCAGTTTTGGAGACATAGCAGAGTTTTAACTTGTGATGTGAAAACACACACAGAAAGAAATGAGCTAGAGAGAGTGAAAAGAGGAACAGAATTAACCTAATATACATATAAAGTTACGGTTCACGGTGGGTGACAGTAACACAAATACGAACGTTTTGACATGCTTTGAATGAGAATTTCCTTTCTTTTTAGAGAATCAAAGTAAGGAACAGTTTTTCAATCCCTTGAATATTTTTCAGAGTTTGAAATTCTTTTCATCTCAAATAAGGATGAAAAGTCAAAATCTCAAAAATATTTGCGAGCACACAAAAAATTCCGATTCAGGTAAATCAGAATGTTTCATTTAGAAAATTTCAAAACATGTTGACATTTTCTTTTTTAACCTAGTTAGCTTCATTATTTAAACAAAAAGTTGTTTCAAATCAGAAAAACGCAATTTTTCATTCAGAAAATGTCAAAATGTTTCAAAACTTAGTGTTTTTCAACATTTTTTCCAAGTCGGGAGACTCATCAAACCCGAACCTGCTTCATGAACAGTTTTGGTTCCAAAAAATTAGTTTTTTTTGAAAAAAAAAAAAAAAGTGATTAATTGAAAAAATTCCCAACCAGCTCGAATACAGAAGGGACCAGAACAGACTGTGCAAGCTGCTCCTTTCATTGCTCTGGACTTTTTGGCTGGTACCTTCAGGCAGGTCAGTTGTGAGAGGTTTGAAGCCTGAACACTGCCTCAGTTTGCACAAAAGGGTCAAAATGCAGGTTTTTAAAGCTCCCAAAAGTATGTATTATCTGATGGCTGAAGACACTGCTGGGTTCTAGCGAGTTTAACTGGGTCAGACTGTGACAAGCTGGTCCATGCTGATCTCCTCCAGATTAGCCTACTGCAGTGTTGTGCCGGTTGACCACCCAGGAAATTGATCATGCTTGTGCATACTTCCTCTGCCATGGTACACAAAGAACCTTGAGTCAAAATTGGCTGTTGTGCATAATCTTGTATGAATTGCCAATATCAAGTAAAAATTGTGTTCCTCTCTAGAATGCATGTCTATAACCGCCGCTCTGTTTAAAACAAACCAAATCCAATTGCCGTTTTATTGGAGTGAAAGAAAAAAACCACTTGGCTGTATCTGGTACAGGATGTCCCGCACTTCGTTGCTTCTGCAGGCTGAGCTCATTGCACACACAGTGATCCATTCATAGATGCCAACGCCAGAAGGGACCACTGGGATCATCTAGTCTGACCTCCTGTGTAACACAGGCCAGAACTGCCCCCAAATAATTCCTAGAGCAGATCTTTTAGAAACACATCCAGTCTTGATTTAAAAATGGCCAGTCATGGAGAATCTACCACGACCCTTGGTAAACTGTTCCAATGGTTAATTATTCTCACTGTTAAAAAAATCACACCTGATTTCCAGTCTGAATTTGTCTAGCTTCAGCTTCCAGCCATAAGACTGTTATAACTTTCTCTGCTAGACTGAAGAGTCCAGTTTCAAATATTTGTGATATAAGTGCTCCCCACACAGAGCTCCCTCTGAAGTGGGTGCTTTTTAATGGCGGTGCTCAGCGCTCGGACAAAAGGAAAGAGGCACCATCAGATCTGCGTGTTCTATACACCTGCTGATTTCCTTGCATCCCTACATCCCCGCAAAACTAGGTTCCTAGGTGCTCTTCTCCCATCCCCCTCAAATGTCAATAGTTTCATTATTTCGTTCCTTTTGGTCTGGAAATCGGTCATTCAGGGTGTTGACATTTGAAACTGCATTGGAGGAAGGGCAGAGCTGAGACAGGGGCATGCCGTATTGTTATGCTGAAAGGTGTTAATCCTTTAGTTCTTTGATCTATAGACAATTACAGACCTGGATATAGTTGAGGGATATGCATTCCAGAGGCTTTGTGGGTTTCTTATTTCCTTGTTCTCATTTTCCCATTTTTATCAAAATCAATAGGCTTCTGCCCACTGGGGCATAGAATTTTCCCTGAAGTTTTGGAAGAGATCAGATGCAGTGTTCAAAAATTATTGTGTTATATGCAAACAGAGAAATGCTATGAAGTTGAGTGTAGACTTGCTTTGTTTGGCCAACATGGACACCACTGTCTCCTCTAACTAAGATTTTCAAAGCTGGTTGCCTAAAGTTAAACTCCTGGGTCCATATTTAGGTATCTATGCGGCCTGGCTTGACACTACTGAAAGTCAAACAACTTACTTAGATAGCTAGGTATAGATATAGAAGCCTAAACTTTAAGTACTCTTGGCCTCTGTGAGCAGAGGAAAAGAAGTCCCATTAGACCTCTGATTGGGGCACAGAAGGAGTAATCTGCCTTCAGAGCCGGGTGGATAAAAATTAACGATTTTTTTTTAAATGTAAAAAATCTGATTTTTTTGATAAAATGCTTTTTGAGGAAAAAACCTATCTAAAGATAGTTTTAATTAAGGTACATTATAGCTCAAAGATATCTCATAATGGAATAGGGATTATAAATTCTAATTCTATAGTATGAGACAATATATTCATGTAATGTTTAAGAAAAGTTTTGTAAATGAGTTCCAATAGTTCATGGATTAGGGACCCAATCTTATGAGGATCCGGAGGCTTCTGTATAGATTATTTAGGTTTATCTTTCTATCTACCCAATGGGACTCAGTGCTCAGCCTAGAAGATACCATTAGAGATGCTGAGTTTTGCAGATCTCAAACTGTGGATTTGTGTCGCCAGAGATAACATGCTTCTTAACAGCAAAAATGTTTTTAAATAAATAAATACATAATATATAGAGGTGAGAAATAACAGACCTCAACCCTATTGTCCCTCTGCAAATTTGTGTACAGAGAGACAATCTCTTACCTCTCTCTAAAAGTGCAAAGTTTCAAAAAGTTGAATGAATAAAAGATTGGTGGGGATGGACTAGATCT